ATACAAAAATAAAAAAGTTATTCTACGTCCTAAGTTGTGTAAAGCTATGTTATCATATTATATATAATGATAAAGTATAAAAAAGAGTGTTACAATTATTCTCGCAAGGGAACACATATCTTCACAAGTATAAAAAAACACATTTACCTGAGCAAGGTAAGTCCAAGTCCAACACCATCGATCCCTGTAAACTCCAAACAATATTTAATATTGCAAAATAGAAAATCAAAAATTGATTTGTAAGGTGATACTAATGAGTTCAATACAATCATATATTTCATCAGCTAAAAAAATTGATTAAAATTTAAGTCAAAAGTAAAAAAATTAAACCACACAATCCACAACTTTTCAACCATATATTTCATCAGCTTTTATTAAATCTCCTAAAAATCTGATTATAATCTCTGCCAACCAGAGGCCAACTCAAAACATCCGAACATAAAATATGTACAAGGAAATGACGAGCCTGTTCACATGCTTATTTCCTGTTCATCAATGGCTAAAAACTGATCTATTGCAAATTTTAGACCATCCAATAAAGCAACACATTCTCCCGAATGCAGTGTTGTCATCCAAAAACCAATTACATACCATTTCTCATTCCTACATATGGCATCAACATTCAAATTTATATGTTCAGTCTATTGAATGGTTCAGTTGCCCCCACAAGACACATTCACCAGTCTCACAAGGTAGCATGCTCAACTGATAGAAATTATAAGACTTTTAAAGAGTCAAATATATATAAAGTGTCGTGCCAAAAAACCAAATTATATCCAAGAATTCCAATTTATAAAAACATGATAGAAAATTTGTCTTATCGAAGAGAGAAATCCAGATAATCAACAAAAAGAAAATTCTTGGTCTGAAGTAATGAAGAAATGCATAAAGCGGTGATATTTCCCCATCCAGATATATTCCTCCTTCAATAGCCGCAGACAGAAATGCTCTCCCGGGTTGCCTATTTGCCGAAGGTCCATGACATCCAAGAAGCTGCATGATGTAAATAGTTTATTAGTATCTTCATGAGGGTGATGACTCCTCTAACAAGAAGAAAATAAATCCAAAATGCATTCTAGCTAAGGCTAATTAAAGGAACCAAATGATAAGGTGGAATAGTATTCGATGTTTTAGTACAAGTCAAACCTTAGCATTCACACCATCAGAAACGATCCTGTTCTCATATTTCCATTTAATATAATCTGGGCGACTGTACTTTGTGAATCCCCTGAAAAATCAAGATAATTTAAATAAGCAACAACGTATAAGAACTTTCAATGGTTAAGTTATTAAGCAAAGAGAAAAAATGGAACTAGAGTAAAACAAAGCTTTAATTTTTCTGTTTACCAAACACAAAATGCACCTGAACAAAATGATTGAAAAGTGAACACAACTGCATCTTATCAATCTAGATTTTTCTTTACATCAATTGACAACAAAATTATCATTTACATTTACGAAATGTCCAAACTATACAAAGAGGAGTAACATCTCTGATGAGAATAACAAATGGGTAGGGGAATTTCATATTAAAGATGGATTAGATGATTCAATAAATGATTTTAAATTAGACTATTTAAATAAGATAGTGGAGATTTCTTGAACTGCACTGACAATTTCTATGGCCTGGAGGCAGTTTTCATGTCCTATTTGGAGACCAAGATTTAAATAAGTTTGTGCCATAGGTAAGTACAGATATCAAGTTCCTAGGATGTTTCCACTACAGCATAAATTGGACAAATTATAGGTGATGTTTCCATTTGTCCGGAAATATAACATTCGACAGCTTCTTCTTGCCTATATACCCATATGTAAAATACCCAATCAATCGGATGAAACCTTAACTAATCAATTCAAAATCACACCGGCCAAATACAAATATGTAACTAAACTATGAAAGATGAAATTGAAAGGATACTAGGAGGAAAAACTTACATTTGTCGCAGACCATTGTGAGCTGGTAATTATTTACCCGATGGAAGACCAATGAATTTTTCGATCTACAAATCGAATTAAATAATTAGTTGTTGGAGGAGGGGGAAGGGGGACGAGAGATCTCACTCAAAAATAGAGACAATACCTTTGCAAGTAAGCACTTGACCTTCAGTAGCCATGGAGTTGATGTATTGGAAATGTGGAAGAGACAACGCCACTGGGAATGGAGAGGAGGACGGCGTGAGATTGTGAGTGAGAGATGATAGAAATTGGAAATGAAAGATAAGGGTTTTTTGTTTGGGCCCTTTCTGTCTCGTGACTTTTGTTTTGCCTTTTATCAAATTTGAGTTTTTTTTTTTTTAAGCAGGTTGGATTGGGCGGATTTGGGCGGTTTGAGCGGGTTGGTCGGGTTTTTGCCCACCCTTAGATTTGAGCAAACCAGCTCCAACTGCAGCCAGCCAACAGCACAACACAACATACAGAGGATCCCCTGCCTAAACATAATCCTCAGCCCAAAATCATAATTCCAAAACAATTTATATTCCTTATCTAACAAGCTATAGAAAATAAATATTAGGCCACAGATAAATAATCCACTATAAAAAATGAAAAAATCGTATAATGTTGATCAATAAACTATAAAACCAAATATAAATAGCAGAACTAAAAGACAACTAATAAATTCTATGCTTTAGTTTATTGACCACTAAAGGAACTGTAAGGATATGGGAGAGAGGACGGGGTCACGGGGGAAGAGTGGTGCACAGGGGTTGAGAGT